TGTCCTGATAAACACTCATGTTATTTGAGGGGTGGGTTCTGGCTGGGAGTCGGGGGGAGAGAACGGTCCCTGCTCTTTCAGTGGTTTCGTGGGGTCTTGTGTGCCTACCCGAGGGTGCCAATGAGCCTTTGGTCTTCCTGCCAAACCTTGCAGCAGTATCAGCCTGCAGTTACGTGGTCTGTTCCCTGGAGTGAGGCTGTGGCCTGGAAAACGTGCCGGGGAAGAGGCGATGGGGTTCGCGGGATGTGGGGTTTGAATTGTGTGGGCAGAACACTCTGGCGGGAGAACATTCTTGAAAAAGCAGGCCGTTAATTAAACAGAGTATGACTGCGCAATTCCAAAGTGCAAGGGGATGCAGGTGTCTTTGTACAAGTCGCAGAAAGGTTCTTATGCAGCTGCAGCAAATGATTTAAGAAGGCTCATGGGATGCTATCCTTTATTTACAGAGGAATTGAGCATAAAAGTGAGGATGTTAAGCTTCAGTTAGACGCGCCATTGGTGAGACCACATCTTGAATGCTGTGTGCAGTTTTAAGAACAAAAACCAAGAACAGTACAGCACAGGAACAGGCCCTTCAGCCCACCAAACCAAAGCTGTGCTGACACACGACGCTTTTCTAAACTAAAATACTTTTTTCCTTGACGGGTTCTGTAACTCCCACTTCTCTACTGATTCACGTATCTGTCAAGATGCCTCTTTAAACATTACTGTTGTATTTGCCTCCACTATCTCTTCTGGCAGCACATTCCATACACTTACCATCCTTTGTATATAAAAAAGAAGTAAAACCTGCTGTCACATCTCCTTTAAACTCACCCCCTTTTACCTTAAACCTGTGTCTCCTAATAATTGACATTTCTACCCTGAGAATAAGACTCTGACTGTCCATTCAATCCATGTCTCTCATAATTTTGTAAGCTTCTACCAGGTTGCCCCTCAGCCTCCAATGTTCAAGTGAAAACAAACCAAGTTTGTCCAAACTTTCCTCACTGCTAGTACCCTTCACACCAGGCAACATCCTGGTAAACTGTTTCTGTACCCTCTCCAAAGCCTCCAATGTCCTTCTGGTACAGTGGCAACCAGAACTGGACATAGTTCTCCAACGTGGCCTAATTAAAGTTCTTTACAGTGCTACATGACTTGCTAATGTTTATATCCTATGCCCCAACCAACGAAAGCAAACGTTAACCACTTATGTTGCCACTTTCAGGAAACTATACCTGTACGCCTAGATCCCCCTGTATGTTGATGCTATTAAGGGTTCTGCCATTTACTGCACTTCCCTCCTGCATTAGACTCCTGCATTTTATCTCCTTATTTAAGCAAGGATGTAAACACATTGGAGACACTCTAGAGGAAGTTTATTAGATTGATACCTGGAACGACTGTGTTGTCTTATGGGAAAGGTCAGACAGACGGGGCTTGTTTCTGATGGAGTTTAAGAAGAGTGAGGGGGTGACTTGATTGAAGGGTATAAGATCCTGAACAGTCTTAACAATGTGGACGTGAGAAGGAGGTTTCCTCTCATGCGTCAACCCAGAACTAGGGAGCACTATTTCAAAATAAGGGGTCAATCTTTCAGGATGGAGCTGGGGAGAAATGTTTCTCTGAGGATTATGGGAGTTTGGAACTCTCTGCATCAGGAGGCGGTGAATGGGGTGGGGGGGTTGTTGAGCATTTTTAAGGCATGAAGGCTCATATTCGACGTGGAATTGAGGCTTGTTGGGGAGGTCATTGGGAACGTAGAATTTGAAACCCATACAGATGGGCCATAATCTTACTGAATGGTATAGCAGACTTGTTAATGCAAATTGCGGACAGTATGATGGCTCCATGGCTCGGTGCCTCACAGCGTCAGGGACCCAGGTTCGACTCCAGCTTTGGGCGACTGTCTGTGTGGAGTTTGCACATTCTCCCCGTGTCTGCGTGAGTTTCCTCTGGGTGCCGCAGTTTCCTCCCACAGTCCAAAGATGTGCAGGTTAGGGTGGATTGGCCATGCTATATTGAACATCATGTCCAGGGATGCACAGGCTGTGTGCGTTAGCCATGGGGAATGCAGGATTAGAAGGATAGAGTAGGGGGTGGGTCTGGGTGGGCTGCTCATTGGAGGGTTGGTGTGGACTCAATGGGCCGAATGGCCTGCTTGCACACTGTATAGACCCCATGAAAACGCTCATCGGGGATTGATTAATACTGTGGATTAATTCATTTGAAATAGTAAAACATGTAAGCCATGACCAGACATTTAGAGCAAAGCAGTTTTGTGGAGGGAGGTGTGCAGTTGTGTGTCTTGCATACCTGCCTTTCACTCACTGTCTCTCTGAAGGTGAACAGGGAATTTGCCGAGAGAGCAGCTGACAGAAGAAAGGGGAGAACGAGCAGTTCGCTCCCTCTTCGCTCAGACAGAGAGAGGGAGAGATGGGTTCTTTCATGTGGATGTTGGATGTTTATGCTTTATTGCCTATACATCCTGCCCAGGATATATTTGAGAGGTTATTACTACACTGAGCTCCCTTGAACCCTCACCAACTGTTGCTAATTGAAAAGCCAATCAAAAGACCATTTCTGGTCAGAATCACCTTGAGCCCACACATAGATGGTGCCAATTTGTCTGGAATTCTCCCTCTGATTACTCCAATAAGACAACACTGCCCATTCAAGTAACTTGTTTTGTCATAAACGCACAGTTTCCATGGTTTAAAACAGCATCTTTTTCCTATTTCTAAACCACAATCCTGAAAAAAAAATGTGGCCTTTACAACACCCAGCATGTGGAGTCCTTAAAGGTGAACTCTCTTAAAGGTGAGATACACCTACTGCAGCCTTCTCCATTCCACAAGCTGTCTCCCCGTCTTTTCAGTAATTAGTGAATATGTCCAGATCCTGCGTTACTGCTGTCGTCTGGAGGTGCCATCAATTCTCTACAGTCGTCAATGATATTGTCTGCCATTCCTGTTTGTGTGCAGAATCCAGTGACCCACGGACCAAGGCTGTGGAATTTTGGAGGTGACGTTCTGAGCCCCACATTACCTTGCACAATCTGTACCATCCTGAGTGCCGACTATTGCCGCACTTCTGCCAGTTATGTACCCATGGTTATTTTTAATCGGGCACAGCCATCATCTTCTCCTGCAGTCTCACAAGCTGCACCTGAGTTTAAAAGAGGAGAGTACTATCTGTGGGAGTCGTTGGCACTGATCTAGCAAACAGGAGCCCTGCTGGTGATGAATGATTACGCTTGGAGGAGTTTCTCTCTGATGTAACTGCGCAGCGTGTACATCTTACTGATGCTGTCTACCAGCGTAAGAGTTAACAGGAAACCACTCAGCCCTTTGAGCATGTGTTGCCATTTAATAAGGTCATGGTTGATCTGATTTTAGCTGACCCTCCGACAGTGCGGCGCTCCCTCGGCGCCGACCCTCCGACAGTGCGGCGCTCCCTCTGCGCTCACCCTCTGACATGGACTCCAGGCTCCAGAGTGAGACTTGTTCCAATGACCTTCTGACCCCCTGTTAGTGTGAGGTGCCTTGGTTCTTAAGTGTGATGACTGTTGTTCTGGCTTTTTGTGTGAGATAGCGGCGTGGGGAGAGGGCTCAGGCTTCGACAGTCTGTCAGCGTACTCCCTCAGCCGAAGCTGTGCATCCGGTTTTGGCGTCGGTGCTAGTCAATGGGTTACCGGTGCAGGTGCCTGGTTACTGGGTCTCTTATCAGAGGGGCCTTTCTGCCAGTCACCACAGCTGTTGTCACCAAGGTCCCCTGCAGCTGTGTGCATTGAGATTCTGTTAGTCCTGGCTAAACAACATCTAACCACACAACCTGTTTGACATGCATTTGATTACCCTTGTGTCAACACGGGACTTGAAGCAACCTCCTTTCCACTAGAATTAAAGCCAGTTATTTACCTGTTGTGGGTGGTGTTTGATGGGGACAGTATAGAGGGAGCTTCACTCTGTATCTAACTCTGTGCTGTTCCTGTCCTGGGAGTGTTTGATG